CGGATATGTTTCCTGTTCATAAAAAGGGAAGCAAACGCGACGTAAACGACGTACCGAGGAATCACGTCGCTGAGTGCTGAATCAAATCTTTTTGAATTGGTTGTCATAGAGTCCCTAAATGCGCATTGCAAGCAATATCTAAGTATCGATCAACACGGATTCATAACTGGGCGTTCCACAACTACGAATCTGCTGTGCCTAACGTCTTACATCACAGACAGTTTGATTGCTCGGACCCAAACGGACGTTATTTACACAGATATTACGGCAGCCTTCGATAAGCTGAACCACGAAATTGCGCCAACTGACAGTAACTTTGGCTACTTGTCGCTCAGCAAGCTTCTGCGCAAAGTCCAGTATACCCCAGGGTAGTCATCTGGGACCATTGGTATTTCTCCTTTACTTCGACGACATTCACCATGTTATCACAGGGCCACGATTATCGTTTGCAAACGATCTGAAAGTTTGTCTGCGCATCCGCTCACTGCCGTTCTCTCCGAGATTAGATTGACATCTTTGCTGACTGGTGTAGTCTAAACCGACTGGTGGTCAACCCAGCTAAGTGTACAATCATTACTTTCGCACGCAAGAAACAACCGATTATTTTCAACTACAAACTACTAGGCATTTTTAGTAACTTGACAATGCTTTCCTTGTTATTTTCGTTTGTGACTGTAGTATATGTAGTCTGTATAATCTATATTTTTTTACAACTAATCATTGGGACTTTCTCTAGTCTGTTGATGCAAACATAACAAATAAACCAATAAATAAACAAATAAGGCCATTCGCAATGCTGAGTTTCAAAATTGTTTCAAACTATTCGACAATTCTAAAATTTGAACTGTAAAAAAAGAATCAGCGCAACGCGCAGTTTTGAACGGTGTTTGGTATTCATCCATACATATGTGTGCGTGTGTAAATTTTGTTTGCTTCGGTGATTCGTAATCCAGTATCAGGTAACGAGTTCGAACCACGAGAAGAAATCCCGGACGATTCTGCTGTCGAAACATGTAAAGAGAGTTTGGACATTGCTAAACACCTGCTGGTCTTTGAAGCAATTTCTGAGCAACCTGGTATCGTGGGTGAACATCTGAGAGATGTGATTTAAATTGTTGAGCAGTTGAAGCTCTTCAGACTAATACTAAATCAACCTGAAGACATGAGAACATCCTGAGAAGTTTTTGGTGATCTCTGATCTCCTGAAGGCCTTTGGCATATTTTCTGAGTCACCTGGTATCATGAGAGAATATCTGGGAGATGTGATTTGAATTGTTGGATAGTTTGATATCTTCATCAGAATAGTACCTGATCAACCTGAAGTCTTGAAAAAGTATCGAGCGGACTTTATAGACAAGTTAAAACACATGGCATAATTTCTGAGCTGCCAGGTATCATATGAGAGGATATTTGAGAGCTATGTGATTAGATTGTTGGATATTTTCAGAATGATACCTGATCATTCTGAAGTCTTGAAAAAATATCTAAAGGATTCCTAGAGATTTTAGAACACCTGAAGCTCACTGGAATAATTTGTATCAGCCTGGTATCATATCAAGACCAACTATTGAAAAGGCCTCAACTCCATTTTGTTAACAAACCTTGTAAGGCCATTTTCTCGCGAATCGAAACCTACATTCGCAAACCTAAAACACAATCGGGTAAAGGAGAATTTCCCCTACCTGTTCATTTTATGGCCTTACAAGGTTTCTTTACAAAATGGAGTTGAAGCCTTTTCAATTGTTGGTCTTGATATGAGAGAATACCTTGTTGACGTAAAAGACGCAAGCGCTTTCATGAAATTGTGTAAAGATTCATGGATTTTCATGAAGTTCTATAATATACTATGAAATTCTTAAAACTTCTATGGTGTTCCCCGATCTTTTATGAAATATCTCATTGCTTTGCAATTACCAAAACTTTAATGATACTCCCTGAAACTAATAAAAAAAATACAATTTCCATACCGTTTACTGTTGTCTGTTGTTTTTTTGTGATGCTCTTCGTTATTCAAGTTCTCCGAACTGTTATAAAATAATCTCATACTTCTCAGAAGTACCCAAAATTTCTGTTAAATTCCAAAATTTCCATGGAATCTTCTCAACTTCTATGAAGTTCTCTGAACATTTACGAGAAGACACGTGAAGAAATTTGAAACAGTGTTCTATTTCTGTTTCAAACCCGCTCTGAAATAAAACCGAAAAGTCGGACAGTTGCAAATCTGGTGCAAAATAGTGCTCGAATAATGAAACGGAAACAGTCCATATAAAACATAACAGAATTGCGAACGGCCTAAGGCTTCTAAAACAATTAATTATTTCACTTTGCCACATGGTTGATGCTATCATTCTAGTTATTAATAAGGAAAATTTTCTGATTTTCCAGGTAGTCGACACCCTGTCTAAAGGGATTCAGAGAACAATTCCAAAGGAATTTGACGAGAAGTTGCAGGTAATTTTGAGAAGCATTTCAAGAAAACTGTACGGAGAATTAAAAGCGACTTCCAAGGTAGTTCTGAAGAGACTATTGGAGATAATAAGCATAATTCCAGTAAATTCTAAAACTACTCAGAACGATTTCTAGGGAGCATTTTGAAAGTTTTCGGTAGGGGAATTTAAAGTGAGCCCTACGACATACTGAATGATGCTATGGATACAATTCTGACACTACCCCTAATGATCATCTGGGCCTAGAAAACCTCTTACATGATAATCAATCAATCAAAGAGAATTCTATGGAGATCGCTAAGGAAATACCGATAATAATTCCAAAAGAATCTAATGCTGATTATACTGCCGTTCTACGCAGAAAAACACGCTTATTGTTTAGAATCATTTCTGCTTATTGGAGGTATTATACGTTACAATTAATTAGTGTATTGTTCACATTTCGAAAAAAAAATATCTTGTAGTGAAATCTACACACTTAGATTTTTTCGCCGAGATAAGCACCACCGAGCAGCTCGGTATTTTATTTTGCTGGATCTCTGTGAAAAACGTTACTATCTATGAACAAAAGTTAAAAATGATCAACACTAACATGGGACAGATATGCGTAGAAAGGCAGTATAACTAAACAAATCCTTACAGAATTTCGTGCGGAAAACAGTTTTAAGGACATTTCCGAGACAATCCATAAGGATTTTACGGGGAGACTTCACAGAGCATGTTGAACAATTTTTCCACAAAATTATGAGTTGCATTCAAGAAGATTCTGACATCAAAAAACATTTTGAAATTGCAAAAGTATGTAAAATGTCACGTGCCCAAGCATTAGAAATTACTTAGGATTCTCTCTTTAATCATTTAGGGAAATTATCATCAGCTTGGGCTTGACAAATTTTCAAAACTCTGGGACATTGCTATTTTTTAAGATCTCATACTTAATTTTTGGTATTCCGTACTAAGGAAAAGTTATGAATTCCGAGCTTGAACAAATAGTCAATACTCTAAGTGAAATCAGTGCCAACATTTCAAAGGGGCGTAATTGCTATTGTAAACAATGGCTTGAGCTATCGTTTTTTCGCAAATAAAAGCCTATCCCTTCAAATTAATAATGCTAGCTGGTAAAGGAAACATTTATCTACCTGCTGGTGTTATTAATCTTCATGAGTAAGCTTTTATTCGCGAGAAATCGACGGCTCTAAAGCCATTGTTTACAAATGCAATTACGCCGTTTGAAATGTTGACGCTGATATATTCAAGATACCGAGCTTGGGATATTCTAATACCTTGTACAGACATACAAAGTACACTGTTGTACTGTTGGTTGTACCATAGAGGTAACTCTAAGACCAGAAGGTCCCGAATAAACGTGTTCAACTTTTTGGCTCAGCTCTGGTACTATCGTCGGTCCCAAGCTAATCGATTCCCCCCCGAAACATAGGAAAAACGAATAACCCCTCATTTCATCTGTCAAATTTTCATAGCGAATCAAAACAAACATTGCGTAGTACTAGAATTTCGACTAGAATGGGATACGTTAATCGTTTGCTTGGGACCAATAGGCTAGTCAAGTAGTGAGCCAATTTAAAATCGTTAGTTTCGTATTGATTGTTGATTGTACTACCATTGTATTTCTTTAAGCTAGTACCTCAAATTGTACCATTTGAGGTACTCGATTAAAGGAGTACAACCATAGGGTAACTCTAAGACCACTGGGTCCCGAAGAAAATCATTATTATTTTTGGCTCACTCAGTACCAGAACAACGGTCCCAAGCAGTCCCAAGCTATTTCACTCACCCCTGCATGTTCTGCATGAATCCACACACCCCTGATGTTATCTGTCAAACTTTCATAGCGAATCAAAACAAACATAGTGTAGTAATAGAATTTCAACTAGAATAGGGTACGTTAATCGTTTGCTTGGGACCAATAGGCTACTAAAGTGGTGAGCCAATTTAAAATCGTTAGTTTCGTATTGATTGTTGGTACAACGGTACTGGCTTTGTATGTCTGTCAATGGTATAACAGAATTCAGTCAATATGTACGGTCGTAAACAAGAATAAAGATGATACCTATGTGAAGAGCTTTTTTATTCCGATTGACCATGAATTAGTGACCAGTCGCTATGTATGGTTTGTTAACAAAAATTCAGTGTCAACATTTCAAAGGGGCGTAATTGCATTTGTAAACGATGGCTTTAGCCGTCGATTTCTCGCGAATAAAAGCTTACTCATGAAGATTAATAACACCAGCAGGTAGAAGAATGTTTCCTTTACCAGTTAGCATAGTTAATTTGGAGGGATGGGCTTTTATTTGCGAGAAACCGACGGCTAAAGCCATTGTTTACAAATGCAATTACGCCCCTTTAAAATGTTGGCACTGAAATATAAAACAACGCATAAGTTTTTAGCATAACCATTTACGTTGACAGTAGCTGAAATTTTCCAGCAACTTTGTTGAGAGGGGAGTGTATAAGTTTAATCATAAAACATTCTATCCTCAAATATTGCAATGTTCGTCAGATGGGTTGTGCATTAACTTGCGATAAACCTACCTTATCACTTACTTCTACTACACTTGAACTTGATTTTTTCGACTTGCCCTCTTTGCTCACGAGAATTTTGCCTCCAGCCCAGCTGCTACTGCAGCAATAATTTCAAACCTAAACAAAAACACCTTCTCGATTTTCAACACTTTTTACATAATTTTTTCACTTGTCAACCACGGTTACCGGCAGCGTCTACTAGGATCGATAACAAAAAATTCACATTATCTGACTCGCGAAAATTTCACAAAAACTCAAAACGGGCAATGAAATTGCACGACGTCAAAGCCGCGAAGGAAAAAATGATTCTAACATCACAACGCGCGACGGGCGGCGACGACGGCGGTGACTGATGACGACGTTGTTGTCGGTCTTTTCAGTGAGCAAGACCGAGAATGCGAACGCGTGGGGTGGGTGGTGCAAATATTTTTGTTGTGTTTTGTTCGTTCGTCGTTCGAATACACACACAAACTCATACACAGATACTGCTGCGAGGGTTAATCGAAAATTCCGTATCGGCTTGAGTTTTACAGAATGTTGTTAATTTCAAATTAATTTATGATTTATGGTTTACAATATCATGCAGAACAATGAATTAGGTTCTAAGTAATATTTACAGATTATGTATTATTATTGATGGTTGTCCTAATAAAAATAACAATAAGAATGAGCTTAACGACGTGTTCGGGATATCATCCAATCTACACAGAAAAAAAAGTTGTTGAATATTACATCCAAACTGCTGCAACCAGGTCAATCCATCGGTTGTGTAATATAACGTTGTACGATGTACATCGATTTTGCGAACAAAATTACATCCATTGATGTAATATTGTATCTGATTTTTGCTATTACATCATTATTTCATACATCAGCTTGAATTACATTGATCGATATTACATTTTTTTTGCTGTATACTTGTGGGATAGTTACACCGTTATACCACAAACGAAGTGACAGACGACTAACTGGCGAAGAAATCCATTTAAATAATGTGGTTCACTGTAATAAAATTTTCTTGGAAGCTTGTGCCATCATCCACTAGATGGGTTAGTTTTTTTGTTTTGATTCGAACAAAGTTGATTTTGTGTATAATGATTCTTTGACAGTGTGCTAAGAGTGCGTATCATTTTGTCATTTTTTTATGCGTTTCAGTTTTGAGTAGAGTGAAAAAGATAGAACTAAAACATTCTAGTACATTTGGTGAAAATGCTAGTTCAATCTAGTAGTAGTGTTGCCATGTGGTACAATCCAGTAGTAGTGGTGTTGCCATGTGGTACACTGAAAAATTGCAATAGCAGGTTAGTCACCAAAGTTTTCGAGCCGCTCCGTCTGTCACTTCGTTTGTGGTTATACGCCTTTTTAATGCACCACCAACGTAGAGTGCGCCACGCGAGTTCAAGAAGAAACGTCAACCAAACCGTTTGTTTACATCAGAATAACTATTTTTCACAACGCAAACTAAAGCATTTTTGATTCAACATCTTGTCAATTTCAGTAATTGGATTATTGTACGATTTTCCACAGATCTGAACTGATTTGTACCTTAACTATTCACACACAAGAAATCCGGAAGATCATAACCACTAAGGCACTTTTCTAAGTTTCCATTTTTCTCAACAAAAATATTGCTGAACACCAGCAGGATCTTTGCAAAAACGTTACAGAATTAAATTTTTCAACTGTAGAGTTTTGGAGCATCTCAGATGAATCAATTTATCAGGAAAAGTAAAAAAGTGTTCCGCTTCCTATGTCTCAAGGCAAACATTTCTGCTCACAACACTCTTTTTGACGTTCTCCTATTTACCACCAGAGGTTGAATCGATCGTTTAGTTCCCATTAAAAAGGCCTATACCATTCGGGTTACCGTTCATTTATGGTATTTGGTTACTACACGCTAACTTGAAAGTAGCCATTAATGGTTGAAAAAGACCCATTTTGAAGAAAAGTGGCTTAACTCATTAAATGAGTAAATTTTTTACCCATTAATGAGTATCTGTTACCCATTAATGAGTAATTGTTAATCATTAATGGGTAACAGATACTCATTAATGGGTAAAATTGTTTAATCATTAATGAGTTAAGCCACTTTTCTTCAAAATGGGTCTTTTTTTACTCATTAATGGGTACTTTCAAGTTAGCGTGTAGGGTGAACTGATGATTTAAATTAAGGTAACTTTTGCTTGATTGCTTCTTTTGAATGGCAACTTTAATAATAACTGTTACTCTGGGAGGGAGAAGCAATTAGCACACACGGAATTTATTGCATAGCATGAAAATTTGTGCCATTGAAATCCAATCAAACTAGGCGAAGCAAAAAGCCTTTGAACGTGTAATGATTGTTTGAGATTGTCTAGTGTGCAGTGAGAAAATGTACTGTTCTGTTTTGTATTTTATTATGCCACTAAATATTTTGACTGGCTAATGTTATCTTTCATGAATGAATGTATTTTTAAAAACGATGTCCCATTAACTGAAATAGCTGGAGACGACAGTTTGTCATAAATTACTTTACCGCAAGATTTCAATACCACCTCGTGTATTCTTGTTCAACTGTAAGAAAAGCATCATCAAACTGCTTGGCTCCCAATGACGGTTCGTGACTGTTTGATTCTGGCTCCTTCTGACGTTTATATTTTTCGAGTCTGCATCTCCCTTTCAGCTGTTAATTATTCAACGTTATTTAAGGTGATTCCTTGTAGAGTCTACAAATGGCCACTCCGTAGGCTATACATGTACTTCCTCTTCGAATTTTCAATTAACCTCTTCATTCGAGCAGATAAAATGACGTTTACTACCACTCGAACTTTGAAATGAAACATTATTTTGCGATTTTTTCTTCTCGAGAAAAGTAGCCAAAATTTGTGCGTTTCATAAAACAATAGAAATTAGTTGGTCCAGTTTTGTGAAATCGCTGGTAGAAAGTCACGCCAAAACTGCTTGACAAAGTGGTCAATTACACAAATCTCGGAAATTAATGTTCCATTTCTCCTTAAATTGCTACATCATTTATGCTGCAGTACAGCATTGTGGTGCGTACCGTAGAAGCTGATATTTGTGCACTTAATTTTTCGAAGTGGTTACGAAAATAAGGATCTCACAGCGAAACACCTTAACGTAACGTAATATTTGAGGGTTTTATTTCTCGATGTGTGCGTATGTTCGCTACTTGTATAATTTATTGGCGTTCAGTAACGGGTATATAGAGCACATCTGAGCGCTCTGTCGGCCAATAGAAACAACAATGAACACGTTTGCAGAACTCTTTCGTAGATGGCATTGATGTTGAGATGAAAGTACACGGACGATGAAACCAACTCAAAAGTAAGTTGATTTTGAGCACTTTGTCAAGCAGTTTTGGTGTGACTTTCGACCAGCGATTTCACAAAACTGGACCAACTAATTTTTATTTTTTTTATGAAACGCACAAATGTTGGCTACTTTTCTCGTGGTTTCTAGAAGAAAAAATCTCAAATTAATGTTTTATTTCAAAGTTCGAGTGGTAGTAAATGTCATTATAACTGCTCGAATGAAGTGGGTATTTTTTCCAAAAGTGGATTTGCTCAAAAGTGAGATGAATTTTATAGGAAAAACTTTTCCAATATGAGAAAAATCGAGAAAGATTTCCCTCTGTCTACACGGCCAATACGAAAGACCCAAATTTGAGTTTAATTATCTCATATATCGCATTGTAAATACGTAACAGTTAGTCACTAATTGGTAGCCCTAGTACAAAATACCATAAACGAATGATAACCCAAATCATATAACTTTTCCTCAAATGGTTTGGATGATACCCGGAACACGTCGTTAAGCTAAATAACCATAACAATTTTATTATGGAGCTTTCAAGTTTACATTTAAATTTTTCTTAGTTTTTCTTCAGATTCGAGTAGTTTTTCTGCACGGCGAATGAGATCTGAGTTCAGTTTACTCATAAATCGCAAAAAGTGCAGGAACTCAGCGATGATAAGATCATGGTTTTCCAGGTTTTTCCAGGAAAAAAAATCCTCAATATGAGAAATGTAAAGAATGGATTCACTCAGTAGTATCTTGGTACTAGGGGAAACGCTCCTATAGTTGCGGTACGTTAGAAGCGTTAGGTTCCTATAGTTGTGTATGGAGTCTCCATACACAACTATAGGAACCTAACGCTTCTAACGTACCGCAACTATAGGAGCGTTTACCCTACGCCTAGAAATTTTTCGTCAATGTTCCTCATTTTTCGGCAGATTTTTTAGGTTTTTCACAGGAAAACATGAGGCAGATTAACTCATCGCAGAGCTCCTGCACGTTTTTGCGATTATGAGTAAACTGATCTCAAATTTGTGTTGCTCCCATTGGCCGTGTACACTGAAAATGAAACTAACTCAGAGAGTGAGTTCCTGTTACTCATTTGAATGGAGAAATTTCTAAAAGCGTAGATCTCTGGAGACGATGTTAAATAAGAGACGCCGGAAGACTGCAAGCTGAACATTGCTTCAGGTCCTTAGTAACATTGATCGATTCTCTTCGTCGACTTTCTCTTTCGTTAATAACTTGAGCACATAGCCGTTTCTTGTTGTGTTTGTCATATTAAATGCTAGATAAAAGCGAACACAACAAATCAAGAAGACTGGCAACTTTGCAAGAATCCAAGCGACAGATACAATGGCGCTGCGCTTGAGTGAAGGTGGAAGCAACCCTTCTTCTGAGGATGTAATCTTTGCTATCAAATTCGTTCGAAGCTGTTACCTGTGAGCGGTAAATGACGCGACTGTACCTGTCTCATAGCGTTCATATGAGAAAACGGAAGAGTTGTCAGTCTCCTTGATTTGTTGTCTTTGATAAAAGCTTCTTTTTCCGATCTGTGTGCTGAAAATACCTGGAAATACCTTTACATGGCCGCGGGGATACAAAGAGAAAGTCGACGAAGAGAATCTGTCAATGTTACTTAGGACCTAATGCAATGTTTAGCTTGACTGAAACTAAAAGCACAAACGAAGTGACAGACGGAGCGGCTCGAAATTTGATTTGACGCACTTACATTTGAAATTTTTGAGTGTACCTCACGGCAACACTATCTACTCATACGTACTAGCTTAAAGTAGTTGATGATATTGATTGTACCCACCTGTTATCTCTTTTTCTCTAACGAAAATTGAAAGGGAGAGCCTGTTGTCAGACAGCATGACATTATGTTGCTTTCGTTGTTATCTGGCCCAACATTATCAGGGGTGAATACTTCGGGTTAACATTTGCTTATAAGTAAACGATGTTGAGCAGTC